GTATCCCCCCCCCCCCACACTTGCGTTTCCTTCCATTCCGATGTACTGCGCCCCCCTCTCTCCCCATCAGGAACATCGCGGCGATTTTCGAACGCTGGCATGTCGGCGTGGATAACTGGAGTTGTGGCGTTGCTTCTGACACTATTGAACCTTAGAGAGGAGCAAGCTGGATGAAATGGTCCTATCGCCATCGGCATCTTTTCTTCTTGAGCATAGCTTGCCATTGGAGAAGCATCTTGCCTGTTCTCATTCGTTAGAGGGGAGAACCGGACACGACAATCTCCTCTTTAAGCAATTTGTTGACCCGTCGTTGTTTTTTATCTTCACAAAGAGATGAAGTGTCATGAAGAGGCATGTTGCGCCCTTTGCTCTGAATCGTGCCCCATTCTAACTCATCTACGATCCCCAGGACAACCAAAGGCAGGCCGCAGGTTGCTCAAAGGCCCGCGGAGTCTCAAAGGCCCCACGGACCGCCCTCTGGCGGTGTCCGCGTGTGAAGTCGTACCAAAGGTATTGAACCTTCAGCGTATGTCGGTTAACTCCAATAAATTAACATGACGGGTTTCGCGCCGGCGTACGAGGTGAAAAAAACATTTGATCTCCCTATGCACAGGAACAAACACAAACCGACATCACGAACAAGAACCACATGCTTCACACAAGACCAATCATTTCACTGCCCATCGGACCTTGCCGGTGGTAACGGCGGACAACAAAACCCACCTATTATCTACACGTCCCTCGCTATTCACACTGTTGTACTACCTATTCTTCTACTCAACAACTACAAGCGTCGCCCAGGACTTCCTCAGAAGCGGTCGGTAAACCGGGCTCCGCGGTCACAAACGGGGTATTCTCTTATATCGTTCATGCTGCACAAGAACGAGAGGTGGAAGTAGCGCGAGGCCCTCCGCTCTTGAACGCGTCGTTCCTACGACAGTAGTTCTCTACCACAGCCCCCGTTCATTTTCTCTCCTTTCCACCAACACTAACGCTCGATGATGGAAACAGGCCTGTCTAGCGCAAAGGCAGCCTTGCAGCTCGCGGGTGTATCGCTGTTGTGCCACGACCCCTCTCGCAACAACCATACGCGCGCTTTGGCTACACAAGAACAGCGGTAGCGCTACCGAGGTTGGGCGCCGGAGTGCGACGGTCTACTTCGGTCTCTCGGTAACGGTAACACGAGGTCAGGTGCCGCCTTCCGGAACACCTCCACATCTAGCTCTCCGAAAAATAACTCCGAAAATTAGCTTCGAGTGTGGAATCTGCACAAACACAACTCTCCGAAAACATGAGGTCAACGTAGATCGTTGGGGCGGTCTCGATGTCTGTATGGAGAAGCGGTACACCACCCCGCTCTGCGAACGAAACTAGATAACCCTTACGGCTGTGCGTTCTCAACCAAGTACAGTCTGGATGATATCGCGATACTTGCCCCGCCCGGACTCACTCGCGTCAAAAGTGCGCCATGAAGTCTTCAAACTCCTGTACCACCTCATCGTCTGACTCCTCTCCCGAGGAACTACTAGAGGTAGAATCCGACCGGTTGCCACTCTCCTCCTCCTTGTCCTGCCCTCCCTCTCGCTCCTCTTCCTCCTCCTCCTTGTCTCCGCCCCCCTCCTCCTGGTCATCCGTCCCACTCCCATTCAAACAATCCTCCAAATAATCCTCAACGCCCTGCCCATCACCCGACTCCTCCACCGGGGCACTGTGACTAACCCCACCCTCTGCATCCTGCGATGACGTCGATCCACGGGACCCGCGCTCTTTCGTTTCCTCTCGTCCTTGTCCCCTGTCCACCCCCCTTCCATGCAAACCTTTCACAGCCTCTTTCTCATCACTAGACTCTGCCCCCGAGCTATCACCGCCGTCGCCACCGTGTTCGCTGTCTGAAGAGGTTTCGCCGAGCTCCTGCTCTTTGGTTTCCTTTCTTCCCGCTGCTCTTTGCCCCCCCTCCGTCCCCTCCAAAACGCCCCGGAATTCCTTGGTGGCCTGATCATCACCATTCGATTCTTCTCCCGAGCCGCCGCCACCGCCATCGGCGCTACCACCTCCGCCTGCTCGATCGGAAGACGATTCGACGGAATTCCGATCTTCAGGACCCCCTCGCCCCTCTGCCCCTGGTGCGCTCTCCATCCCCTTCGAAGCGATCTGAAACTCCGTAATCTCTCTCTCATCATCATCACCATCATCAGACCCTTTCCTGGAGGCGCCACCGCCACCAAGAACGCCGCTGCCACCTTCACCGTCTGACCTATCTGAAGAGGTTCCGCCCAACTCCCGATCTTTTGTGTTTCCTCGTCCATATGCCCCTGGCACAGCCTCCACCCGTCCAAAATGTCCTGGTTCCGCCTTTTCATCATCACCACAGGCTTTCCTGGAGGCGCTACCACCATTACCAAGGCCGCTGCCACCTTCACCGTCTGAGCTATCCGAAGAGGTTGCGCCCAACTCCCCCTCGTCAGCATTCCCTCGTCTCTGCGCCCCTGGTACTGGCTCCACCTCGCCAAAACGTCTTGTTTCCGCGTTTCCATCGTCGTTTTCAGAGTCTTTCCTGGAGGCGCTACCACCGTTACCGCCACCGTCGCCGCCATCTTCACTGTCTGAGCTATCTGGAGACGTTTCGCCTAACTTTTGCTCTGTAGGTCCCCATCGTCCTTGAGCCCCTTGTGCTCCCTCCATCTCCGTCAAAAAATCCCGGGATTCGTTGATGGCCCTTTCACCGTCATCGGACTCTTCCCCCGGCGCAACACCGACACCACCGCCGCTGCCTTCACTGCCTGAGGTATCTGAAGACGTGTCGCCGGACTTCCGCTCCTCTGAGACCGCTCGTCTCTCTGTCCCCGGTGCGCCCTCCATCCCGTCCAAAAATTCCTGGAACTCCCTAACTGCCTTCTCATCATCGTCAGCATCATCATCATCAGGCTCTTTCCTGGACGCGCCACAACCACCACCAACACTTCCACCACGACCACCGTCGCCATCTTCACCGTCTGAGCTATCGGAAGAGGTTTCGCCCGGCCCCGGCTCCTTTGCGCCCCCTCGCCCCTCTGGCGCCCGGCTCGCCCCCTTCGAAATTTCTCGGGACTCCGTGGTAGCCTCTTCGTCACCAGCATCCTGTGATTCAACCCCGGAGGCATCATCAACACCGCAGTCCGCGCTATCAGAAGAGGTTTCGACGGAGTTCCTCTCCTGCGCTTTCTCCCGTTGGTTGGGCCCGTGTCCCCCCCCTTCCATCCCCGTCAGAAAATCTTGGAACTCCTTGATGGCTCCTCGAGCATCATCAGATTCCTCTCCCGAGGAACTACTAGTAATGACACTGCCACCGCTTACACCCTGTGACGGTGATTTCCCGCCCCCGCGCCCCTTCCCACCTTGCGCGTCGATATCCTCGCGGTCCTGCCCTTCCTCTTCTTCAAGCATGCAAGCAAACTCATGCTCTAGGTCAGAATCGACCTCCTCATCGCTCCCATCTCCCTTCCCCACCCCCCAACCTTCCTCCTCCGCTCTCCTTTTCTTGTGTTCTTTCGCTGCTTTCTCTCGCACCCTCCGCTCCCGCACGGGCACCGCCTCGACCCTCCTCGTCCCCCCTGGGTTTCGCTTTCGGTTGCCGGCTAGCGGTGTCCTGCCGGACCGTGCACCCCCCCCTCTGCTTGCTTGAGCTTCTCCAGCTGCTCTCCGTCTAGGCTTTGAAGACGCCTTGCCTCCCCTTACACCGCCGTTGCCACGACTACCCCCTCTGCCTCTGCCTGCCCGAGCTGGTCCGGCTGCTCTCTGCCTAGGCTTCGAAGGCTTGTTGCCTCCCCTGACGCCGCCGCTGCTACCACTCCCCCTCCTCGCCCCCCCCCCCCCCCCCCCCCCCCCCCCCCCCCCCCCCCCCCCCCCCCCCCCCCNCCCCCCCCTCCCGCCGCCGCCGCCGCCGCCGCCGCCACTCTCCAGGGTATCCATGAACATCTCAAACTCCAGCGCGGCGGCAGTGGCCGACTCGTTCGAAGACGAAGACGCGTCATCGTCGAAACTGTCGCTGCGTTCGGCCTCGGTGGTGTTGCCTAGGCCTTCGTGTCGTTCTCCCTCCCCCCGAGCGGTTTGTTTGCTCTTCAACGACCGCTGAGGCCGTTTCCTGGAGGTTCTTTCGTCACCACCACCACACGTAACACCATCCTTGTCGCGGTGTTCGTCTTCGCTCTCGCCGTCACTGTCGTGGCCATCTAAACCTTCCAATAGGTCGTCAAGGTCGTCGTCGAGCTCCTTGGCAAGGTCGTCGAGGTGGTCGCTACAGTTTCGGTCGCCTTCCCCATCACTCGACGACCACGAATCACTGCTGCTGCTGCTGCTGCTGCTGCTGCTGCTGCTGTCCTCCTCCTCCTTGATGCCCGCGCCCAGCGCTGATCGCACCGCAGCCTTCCCTTTCCCGGCAAATCTATTCCTAGCGCTGGCGGCCAAGACCGATGCCGCTCCTTCACGCGCCCGCCGGCCGCTCTTAACTCCTGCTCGGTCGCCCCGGCCTCCCCCCCTCCCCCGAGCGGCCTTCTTGCCGACGCCCGAAAAAACTCCGCCCGTGCTCTGCCCCCTCCCGACGGCCTCCTCTTCCCGCGAGCGCTTCCTCTTTCCGAGCTTCCGAGGCGCGTCCGCCTTTACTCCCGGCTCCTCGTTCTGTTCGCCTAACCCCCGTGCCCCTGCCCCCGCCTCTGCCTCTACTTTCGCCGGTCGCTTGCTGCTTTTGCTGCTGCTGCTGCTGCTGCTGCTGCTGCTGCTGCTGCTGCTTGCGTTTTCCTCCTGTTTGCTGGCCGAGGGCATCTCCGGCTTCGCCACTTTCCCTCTCCGTTCCCCTTTCAACTTCGATCTTGGATGTTGCTTGGGCGCCGGCGCCGGCGCCGGTGCGGCCTCCGCCGACGGCGGGACAATACGGTGGCGGACGCCCAGCTGGGTGGACCCCGACAAGGGGTGGACCTTGGCGCCAATCCTCACGGCCGCGTCTTTGAGTTGAATGAACCACGTGGGCCCCCCCTGTCCCGTCCAAACAGAGCTCGTCGGGTTCCTTGGCATGTCCGCGAAGTTGTACTCGGTCACCCTGCCCTGTTTGGTCGGCGGCGGCGGTGGTGTGGTCGCATCGGTGGACAACACCCCGGGTCGGGTGTTGGAAATCGCCGGCGAAACCAAATGAGCAGAAGGTAGGGGAGCAGCGGTGGGGTTGTGAGGGAAGCATAGCGATGTGTTGAACAAGCGGGTTCTAGACAGCGACCGCACGGGTATCGGCCAGCACTTTTCCTTCTACCCAGTGAATGGCAGCGACAGTCGTACAGGGAAAGCGGAGCGGGCATGGAAAAGGGCAGGGTGTAGTAGGAGTTGTAGGCGGTGATGCTGAGGGTCAATCCGTTTCGAGAGCCACCGTGGCTTCGCCCTCCAAACCGCTGACAAACCCTTGACCGAAGAAATGATACAAAAGACTGCACAATGATCATTAAGCCACAAGCATAGCGCGTTGATGGGACACAGCAGTGCATGCTCAGAGCAAACACGCCCTGGGCTCATTTTTTTCTCGGAATCTCTCCCCCCTTTCGCCCCCGCCGGGTGTGGCTGCACTCACCGTGAGTACTGGGGTTGGAACGCTGAACGACTTTGGGCGCCGTAGCTCCTCTGCCATCACCTAGATCAACACGGTAGGCAAAGAGAACATCGCGCGAGCGGGGGTCATGCGGATACAGTCGACCCCGCTCTAAGGACGCACATGTTTTTTCCGAAAAAAAAAAGCGTCCTTGAAGCGGGGTTGCGTCCTTAAAATTCAGGGGACGATAGCTCACCATCCCCGGGGTCAATGAAGGCATGCTATACCTCAAACTACGCGTATTTTGATAAGAAAGGGTGTGGTACGAAAAGTCAGCATCGCCGAGACGAATGGCAACCGTTTGTTGACGTCGAACATACTTACAAAACTTAAATGACATGGTACAGCAGTCGGGGACGTGTTGAACACAACTACATGCAGTACACAAGTTTGAACTTGGCCAACTAATGTACTGCTTCGCTGGCAGCGGAAGAAGGAAGAAAGTCCAAGTAGAAATATATTTATCTCATTCACGTGAAACACAAAAAAAAAAGAGCGTATTTCAGCGTCGCACCGAGGAACACCAGTCCATTTAACATAAGGCGGAGACCAAGCTACCCTAACGGCTTTTCCCTCCACACATCGCGAAGAGTTCCCTGACCTCCCCCGCGGCTTGGCTCTACGGCTCTGTTGAGTTTCATGAGTAAACGAATGAACGGTCTTCGAAAGAAGGTACTGCGTATCACGGTACCCGCCACTCCTTCCCTTCGCGTACAAATAGGATCGAACGTCCTGCAAGCGAGAGATAACCTCGCCCTCGATGAGGGACGAGGTTATGCACGACTCCGGCCTGCCGTCGCCGTCGCCCTCTTCGCTCGATACGTCGCCGCCCGTTTCTAAGCCGGTGAGATCCCTCTCTACTGCCTGCAGTTCCAACTCCACATCCTCTTCTAACACCTCGGGGTCGTCCTTTACCGTAAGCCACGTCTTGACCGCCGTTCGGACTACCTGCTCTGTGAGGTCTGTGCCCTTCTCGACAAACAAATTGTCCGTCAACACTCGCGGCATGGACCTATAGTCCATTACGCTAGCTGGCATCGACATGTTTGAGACCATGTCACAAAGGCCGTCGATGATTGCCGCGTCGTCCTTGTCCTCTCGGTCCAGCCACGTATCCATGCCCTTGAGAACATTGCAGTGCTCCCTGGGAAGAATGCCAGCCTTGAGCCAGCACCTGATGCCCGTCTGAACGTCGAAGCTACGCCACTTCTGGGAATAGATCTCCGTCACGTCCAGCATTGTCGCCTGTCTTGCATCGCTGAGGCCCCAGCACCCTCTGCCGAAACGAAACACAGGGACGGATGAAAGGGCTAATGTTAAAAGCAGCTCGACAAAAAAGTTGAAAGAACACCATTTTCAGAGCCTTCGCAAGACCTGCGACGACGGTAACAAAGAGCGTCCCTACATTGTTGTTTTGAATTCACCTTTGGATTTTTCGTGCACGGACGGTGTCCCAGTCCTCGACGAGGTCTGCCAGCCTTGCCAACATCTCGGTCTTGTACTGGCACTTGAGTACAAACAGGATGGCCATGTCCATGGGCTGGTAGACAGAAGTGACGTTCGGAGGCAAGATGATGATGACGATCTGCGGGTCGTTGCTTTTGATCTTGTGGCCGGGGCAGTTGTCCACAAGAGGGCCACCTTCTTGAAGGTCTTGCCATTGACGAAGGGGACAAAGACTTCGTCAAACCACCGCTGGCAAATGGCTGCGTCGAGCCAGGCACTCTCCTGGGCGAATTAGGGACATGGCGGTTTGCGGCCGTGGCGGAAAACCATCGGTTTCTTCAACGTGCTGATGACGGCCAACGGCACCATCAGAGACCCGGTCGTATTGCAGCAGGCGACCACCGTGCACCGATCCTTGGCTTTCATGGCCTGCGAACCCCGCGCGGTTTTGCTGTTGACGCCGGCGGCGGCCTCCCCCCTCGTGACGTATGTACCTTTCGGGAAGCAGCGGAAGAAAAGTCCCGTCTCGTCCATGTTAAAAATGAACTCGACGTCGAACTCCTGCAGCTGCTCACGAATCCTCTCGATCTCCTCTGCCACCTTCTGCTTGTCCACGTCGCCAGCTTCTCCGTGCAATTGAACGCGAGTGAAGCTGTAGCGTTTCAGGAAGCGATGTAGCCAGCCTTTGGTCGCCCTGAAGTTGGTCTTACCCATCTGCGCCGCGATCTCCAAGGCCTGGGCCTGGATCATCGAACCACTCACGCCAATCTTGGTTGCCTGCGTCGGGAAAGACATACAAAACAATAAGCGGCGACATGGCTTCGATCAACTCTCCCTTGAATTGGTTATGCGTTCAGTCGGCCAGCTTGAAACAGGTGGACTAGAGCTTGTCGAACCCCCAACCCAGCAGCTTGGTCGAGAGTGGGAGGAAGTGTAGGGGCGGAAGGGTGTAGCCGTATAGACAACCAAGTTTTATCCTGACCAACACATGACGAATGCAAAATATGTACTTACGTTAAAGCGTGCTCGTGCGATCTTGATCCACTTGCGTAATTTCTCTTCCACTTCGTCGTGTACCGGCTTCGGGGCGCGAAGGGCGTCCTGGTTGAGCTCCATGTCGCGGACTTTCTCAAGCTCAGCGACTTTCTCCGGCATCATCAACTTGCCGATGTACGAAGTACCGACGTTCCGCTTTGCAGCAACCATGCTCCTCGTAGCACCCCCCTGGACCTCCTTGACAATCTGCAATCGCTGCGTCATCGATAACTTGTTTTTGCCGGTGTCCCGTCCGGGCTTGGACACCCGGAATTTTTTGGCCACACTACCTGTGCCGTCCCCCGCGGCACCTCCGCCGCCTCCCCACGTGGCACCTCCGCCGCCTCCCCCCCGCGGCGCCTTCGCCGCCCAGCCCCGCGGCACCTGCGCCGCCCCCCCCCGCGGTAGGTTGAGGCCGTTTCCCCTTCCTTGCAGTCTCTGACTCTTTGCCCCCAGCCGGTTGCCTCGTCTTGCGATACAAATTTTGCAAGAGACGAGGGAATTGTGACATGTCAGAGCAGGTTGTTGGCAAATACACCCACGTGAGAAAAAATGCCGTTGTGCCCAACACAATGCGCTTACTTTCCGGAGAACGAGAGTGCTCGCACCTACCGCCGAGAGACTGCACGCAGGCCAGCAGCTACAATTTACGAAAAATAAGAAGATAGAACGTCACGACTGCGTCTATTTTGTATCCTTTTCAAGTGCAAACCGTAAACACCAGAGTCCTCTCAACGTAGAAAAGTTCACTTTCTATCAGCGTTGAACAACGAGAATCACTTCGGCAGCGCGGCATTCGAACTGCTTCAGGCGCAAGTTGCGTGCCACAAGATGCACAGCAGTAGCGAGAGTCTTCACTTGGTTTTTGACGCTCACTACAATTGCACACATGGACACATGTTGACGATCTTTTGTCATGACAAAAAAAAACACACACACACACACAAACGCAGCCTTGTGCGGACAATCTCAGTGAGTTTTCCTGGCATGCTGACACTGCTGTTGTTTGACAAGAACTGGACGAAGGCAAGGACATGCAATGTACATGTAACATCGTGGTGCACGGTTTTGCTCAACACCTCAACAGCACGCGTTCGGCCGATGGCTGCTGCTGCTGCNAATGCACACACACCGACACATATTGACGATCTTTCGCCATGACCAAAGATGAAATATACACACGCGCGCAGCGATGCGGGGACAAAGTCAGTGACTTTTGCTGGCATGCTGACACTGCTGTTGTTTGACAAGAACTGGACGAAGGCAAGGACATGCAATGTACATGTAACATCGTGGTGCACGGTTTTGCTCAACACCTCAACAGCACGCGTTCGGCCGATGGCTGCTGCTGCTGCTGCTGCTGCTGACTGCTGTAAATCACAATCATCACCTGCTGCTGTTGTCCTCGTTGTCGCTACTGCTGTCCACCTCCATGGGACTTGTGCCGGTGCCGATCTTGCCTGTAGTCGTTCTCCTCTGACAATCTGTGCACTCTCTCTGCTGCCCGAAGCCTTCCTCACCGATCCCTCGGCCACAGAAGCCATGCATCGGCCGCCCGCATGGGCTCCGGTGGACTGCCGTGATCAGTAGAGATCTCATCGCACACGTTGGTTCTCCACATGTTTTTTTGGCGGCATTAGATGAACCGCCGGTAGATGGGAGGAATCTATCCATACCAACACCCAGTTACAGCTGCAGCAGCAGACCGCTCGCTACCTGCTGTCTGTGCGTCGATACTTCTGAACTCACTGTGGTGCATGGTGCGTGCAAAGAGCGGCCCGCAGGACACAAAAAGGGGGTACATGGCAGAAAAAAAGGGATGTACCCCGTTATCGTACATTCCGCCGGGCCTCCTGGTGCTCAGCAAAAAGGTTTCTTGAAAGCGGGGAGTTTCCTTAACGCAAGCGTCCTTAAAGCGGGGTCGAGCGTAAGCCAGGTGTGTGCAGGGTGAATCTTGAAAACCAAAGGAGTCTGCCTGCTGTAACTACATACTTTTGCACATACAGCGGTGCCTCATGAGCAAGCTGGTGCCGTCATCCCACATACGAGATACGGGCAGCGGGGCCGACCGCAGAAGATATGCAGACAATGTAAGACCCAACCTCTTTGATTCAGCCTCATCCCTTTCATCTCTCGGACGACCCATGCGTACCCCTAAGTCTGTATGCGTGTCTCTGTCTCTGTCTTTCTCTCTGCACATGGCTTCACACGGGCAGCAAGCCCAATGCTCTGAGCAGAACTGTTGGATATACTCGTAGCAGAGTAAAGATGGTTGAATATGGGACATGGATCTACGGAGATTGCAATTGGTAGATTGCGGAGGAACAGGGAGTGCCTACTTGGATTCTTCGGAGATTCGATGAGTGATCTGAGTTGCGTGACGGATGGGTGTTGTGACTTTCTCTTCGGGTCCTCGGACACGAGTGTTCTCTGCTGTCCCCTCTCCCTTCTAACACAAGACTTTCTCATCTCGGCCCTCACTGGCCGAGCTGCCGTTCTCCACAAACCTACAAGCTTCGGCCTACCCGGTTTACCCAACACGCTAGCGTTGAACGACTTTGTCGAGGGTGATTGCGTAAGAGCCAACCAGAGATCGGTAGCACCGATGGGCAGCCGCATGCGCGGCTGACGACACCCAACCAGACGAAGAGGCCACCAACGGCGAGGGCCTGCACGGCAGCAGCACCCCCAAGACCTACAGCAGCGCCATCGTCAGCTGCGCCCCGCCGTCTGCTGGGGTTGTAGGCATGAACAGGCACGTGATGACTCGTCAGTTTTGGACTGCTGTCATTATGTGTACACCCATGCGGTGATGCGGTGCACCTATACATGGTGCCGTCAGATTCTAAACGTGGCATTACGCCGTGCGGTACTGCCGTCAAACGCCAACGCTTACTCCAACTCCACCTCCACCCGGCACTGCCTTTTAAACACTCTCTCTTACTCTTTCTCTAGCATGATCGCGGCAATACGACGCGCGGTAATGCCGACAAACTCGAACTCTAACTCAATCAAAACGCCGACAAAACGTCGTGCGGTACTGCTGTCAAACTCCACCGCTCGGTCAAAGGCCGACCACCTGTAGCAAATGGGTAGACCCAACCTAGGTTACCAGTAATCCTCAAAAACTGATGCCAGTTTCGAAACTGATGATACGATGTGTGTGTGTAGCATGGTATTAGAAATAGTATTGTGCGTAATGTAATGCAGTGATTGGCGAGGTTTTGTGCTTTGTCTTCCTGACAGCCGTACTGAGACCAACTTTCTCTCCCCGGCAACAGCGTGATCAACGTTTTATCTGGGCTCTTTTTGGTAGCTACTTTTTGAGCAGCAGCTTTAGCCTGATCAAAAATGCGTGATCAACATTTTATCTGGACTCTCTTTGGGTAGCAGGTTTAACCTGATCAAAAACGTCCATGTCTTGGTTGTGTCAGCGAGTACCAGAGACGTGTGAAGTATCAGCGACGTGCAACATTGATTGGTACCTCCACCTTATTGCAGATAAAAAATCCACAATATTGACGAAATAAATGCTGATTTCCGAATATTGTAATACATTGTCTTGAGTTTGCTATTCGTTGTGAGATTGCGGTTCCAAATTTGTTAAGGTTTTGACTTCGGATTGATTACCCTATGGTTAGAACAGGAGCAGCGGCTGTATTATTATTATGTTATCGAGGACTGATCGACCTCCGATTCAGGATGATACTCAGCTATTTGTTGAGCGGCAATGTCGCAGTGATCGGTAATCTCAGACAAACCGTTCCACAAGTAGAGTCAGACGACTCGCAAGTGTGGTTCATTTGTTGCTTTTTCTGCTGCAGTCAGTTCGTAGCATGTGATTCTCCTCAGTAGTGCTGGCTTGTGCGGAACTAATTTGCCGCCATCTTCCCCTCCAAATGCGCGACCTGCCTTACACCACCACCGAGCCAATCCTCCGACGATTGTTCTTCCCCCACTCCAGGCGGACGCAAACATCCAAGCTCGAGTCGCGGCCAGCCGGGAAGCATGAAAGGCGAAAGGCGACCGCGACGAAGGCGTGCGAAATATCCGCTGGGGAAGGGGGAGAAACAATGGCTTGGGGCAATGGGTTACGCGCTGGAGGTTGATGCGCCGGCAAATGTAGGGGTTTCGAGTGTTATTGTTTTGGTATTGAATTGGAGGATTTTCGAACGTTTTGTTGTGGTGCATTGGATTGGATTTTGGCCTTGGTATTGGATTGGATTGTAGCATTCGGATTCGCGAACGTTGTTCTGTGGCATTGGGCTTGCTTTGGTTTTGGTGTTTCGTCGGGATTTATTTGCAGCAGGATTGATTTTCTTGGGCTTCGACTGGATGAATATTGAATGTTGTTCTTCTGGTCTGTGGTTCAGACTTCAAACCCTTCTAAAATCAGGGGGGCGGATCTCCCAGAGCAGGGGGGCACGTTGTTTTTTCGGAAGGAATTTACTGTAGCTGGTGCTCAGTTTCTAGCGAGAAACAATAGGAAAAATACTCGCGTATTTTCTGCTCAAATGATCTCAACGCTGAACGAATTTTTGGGGATGTATGTTGTTTGATCGGAAAAGTGTGAGAGTGGAAGATTCATACCATGCCCAGAAGCGTTTTACCTGCGAAATGGGCATGAAACGTGTACGTTTGTTCTATGCGAAAGTTTGTTTTGTCTTGGTAGGATTCGTAGTCGGATGGATGTAATCAGACGCACAACGAAGAAGGCGATTTTCTACGAATTGATCCGTGTTTTGGAAGGTAAATGAAGAGGAGTTCCACAGATAGGTTTGGTTCAATGGATTGTTAAATGCTTTGAGTTGTGCGGGGGACATAAGTACTCTGCGGGTGTCGTTGCGGCGAAGTGCTGAGAAAGGATGGACCAGAAGAAGAGCTTTTTGCAGAGAAGGAATGAAGGCGATGAGACAAGATGTTGTGGGTTCAGGAACATGTGCATCATCGAGTTCTTGGTTATTTGTTTGTCATGGAGGACTAGGATCCACGTTTTGGGTCGGAAATGGAATAATATTGACTTGCCGTATCATAACTATGCATACGAGCAGGGGGGCTGTTAGATATACTCGTAGCACAGAAAAGATGGTTGAATATGGGACATGGATCTACGGAGATTGCAATTGGTAGATTGCGGAGGAACAGGGAGTTTCTACTAGGTTTCTTCGGAGATTCGATGAGTGATCTGAGTTGCGTGACGGATGGGTGTTGTGACTTTCTCTTCGGTTCCTCGGACACGAGTGTTCTCTGCTGTCCCCTCTCCCTTCTAATACAAGACTTTCTCATCTCGGCCCTCACTGGCCGAGCTGCCGTCCTCCACAAACCTACACGCTCGGCCTACCCGGTTTACCCAACAAGAACACACAAGCAAGCAAGCTTTGGTACAGCCACTACTGCTGTCGAGATGCGCGCAATAGCCGAAGCGGACAGCAGTGGCTGTTACTCGTACCCAACAGCGGTTATATTCTCCTTGCCGCGAGTGGCCCGATCCCACACCCACAACTAGTACACGCAGCATCAAGCGGAGACCGTTGTAGTCTACTGCGTGTAGTACCTCATCGAAGTCAGCCAGGATCCGCCGCGCCTCTGCACCCTCCAGCTCTCCGGAGATGCAAAGCTTCTGCAGCGCGTGGAGGAGCGCATCGCCAAGGTGCGTCCTGTGGTAGATGGCGTCCATGGAACGCTTCCGTGGTGAGCGGCAGCGGTGGGGAGCAAGCCAAGAGAGTTGAGAATGGAGTGGTAGAGAATCGCGTCTGAGAGTACTGCCGTAAATAGCCCCGCCTGATCACGAAGAGGCGTTTGCAGACCCTGAAAGAGAGGGGAAAACCGAAAACTAAAAAAAACTTGAGGGAGAGAGGACACCACAAGAACACCAGGGACCGGTCGAGTGCTTCGTGCTTCGGCACACAACCAACCCTCCCAGATAAAGATGGCCGGCAGCAGCACCGCCTCGGAGATCCTCGGGCGCATCGAAAATGATGCCGTGTTCAGCGGCTTCCTTGAACCCGGCTTCGATCCGGCCAGTTTTGCCAGCAAAATTGTGCGGGCAGATGTGGGCAGGGCTGCTGCTGCCGCCGGGGCAAGAGCTGCTACTGCTGCTGCTGCTGTTGGTGCGACACCGGTGCTTCAGCTGCAGCAGGGCGGCGATGGGTGGGGCAGCGGCAGCAACGGCGGTGGTGGTGCGGCTTCGGCCGAAAGCGTCTCCAGTCAAGCGGAGATAACTCTCGATGTAAGACATTCTACAGTTCACCTCATGCGGAAACCTGACCTGTTGTTCTGCTTGTGCACATGCGGTTGCGGGGTATGCTGTAAGGGCATTGGCATTTCGAAGCCGTTTCCGTGCGCGCAACTTTGTGCATCCCACGTCTGACGTTGCAGCCAGTGGTCGTGTGTTGTGTCTCCTACGTACTCCTGTCTGCCCCCAGACTCGAGGGGCTGGGAACGAACGTGTATCGAATCGCGCCCCTACACTGCTGCGTTGGGTCGACTCTTAGACCGCAAAATTTACTTAAGATATGACACCCCCTGGATCGATTTGTACAGCTCCACTACCCCACGACGAAGAGGATATGTATCAGTCAAACCGCACGTGTGTGGAAAGCTCTCCACGAGATGGCTCTAGCGCCGTCATTTTTGGCACAACACTCTCTATTCTGTAAATGTAGAGAAAATCGAGGTTTGATTTTCAGTCCAACTGGGAGTGCGGTATCTTGCGTCACCTGCGCTCTTGACATGCGGCGGAATGTAGTTAGAGCAGGACCGGCTCGTGCATGCAGGCAGCCCGCTTGCGCAACTCTCGCCTACATGGCCTTCCATATCTCCGCCTGTGGAGGAGTAGCAGCAGCAGCATTTTTTGTTTTGATCCTCTCTCTTTACCAACCTTCGCACACCTTCGTGCCTATATTCACGATCAGCAGCACCGCCTCTATGGCCTATGCCCCCCCTTTCTCCTGTCCGCTACCGCTGCACACCGCGTCAGAGCATGTCCTCTCACATCGCCCGGATAGAGGCCGCCATTCGGTCGCACATCCTGGACAACGAGGAAGACTTCCTCGGCAGCGTCGGCGGCGTCTCGGAGCTTTCCCGCCGCACCGAGGAGTTCAGAGACGGCGTGCGCGAGCTCCGGCGCTCCTTCGCGAGGGTATGTACTCTGTATGTTGTGTGTATCCATGTGTGTACTGCATGCACCATATGTGTGTGTTTTTATTATTAGCATCGACCGCGCTAACCGGCTGACCAATTAAAAGACGTCAGTGCCAGCGGGTAAAAATCAAGGTCCCTGGAAGGGGGCCAAAATTCGAAAAATGCGCAATGCGCTTGATGCGAATGCCAATACGACTCTCTCCACATGTTCTTTCACGTAGACACACATCTCAGCTACACAAATGCCCTCGCTCGAACCTAGGAAGCCACTGATGCAAAGAGCGGAGGACAGCAAAAGGGTTATTTCAAGCCCAGCCGAAGCCAGGATATCGTGGTATGCTGCATCTCCCAAGTTGATAATCATACACTCCCAAGATCCAACAGTCATCGTGTCAGCAGCTAGACTCAAACAAAATAGCAACACATACACTGCCATAGCTCCACACATGCCCTCGTCCGAACCTAGCAAGCCACTTGGAAGTCACGAGGGAGCCAAGTCCTGCTCGCAGGTTCTCTTGGCTTTTTCCTTCAGGTGAACACGTCCAGGAATCCAGTATCCGCAGCCGCCGCAGCAGTACTGCTGTACTGTGTAGTAGTAGCAGGAAATCCAGGTTGTACCCATCCGTTGTCCAAACAAAGATTTGTGATTCCGTGAGAGAAGGAGATACCGCCGCCGTCGAAGGGTCGAAGACACTGTTTGCCAGATGTAGGCTGTGAGATGGATAGAGCCACCTATGTGTTCTTAGCCTGCCCGCCCGTGAGGGTCGTGACGAGGCCGCTTGGTAACACAGTGTGTGTGTGTGTGTGTGTGTGTGTGCTTCGTGTACAATGCGGTGCTATGTGCTACACTCGTGGGTGTCGCAAGTGTGTTGCTGTACGACGCACGCGTGCAAGTCGTGCCACCAAACAGTATTGTTGGTTATTCGTGTGCGCGGTTGACGTGCTCGTTTTATTTTGCACTTGCTACAACGACGACAACAACAACAACAACAAAACAAACAACAGGTGCAGCGGGAAGTCTCCGAGCCCCACGAGGCCGTCCGCGTCCGCACCCAGCAGCTCAAGAACCTTCACGATGCAACCCGGCTGCTCAAGCGGGCGCTCAGGTTTCTCTCCGCCCTAAGGAGGCTAAGGGGCCAGGAAGACATCTTGGGCCTGGAAGCCGCCGCCGGCGGTGCCGCTGGTGGGGGAGAGGTGGTGGCGGCGGGGGGGAGGAGTGCCGGCGGTCCGGGGGGGGGCGCTGCGGACCTTAGGGAGCTTGCCAAGGCCGCGCAGAGCCTGCAGGTGCGTGCGGGTTGGCTCTGGTTCTTTTTTCAACACCACGACTGGTGTCTTTTGGAGTGGTGGTTGTCGCTCGTTATTTGGGTTCGCCGGTTTCCGCGAGACTGTCTTTCCGGCATTATTTTTTTGGTCTTGTTTCCTCGCAGGCTTACCGGTTGGAAGTGAGATGCACACTTTGCAGTTTATGTAGTGTAACTTTCCGCGCTGGTTCTGGACTTTAGCGCTCTACCACCCATCGCAGCTTTACGGCTCATTGCCAAAGAGTGCCGTTGGAATAGTTGACGGTCACATCGAGGTTTCATCCCGTTCTATAACCACGTTGGTAACTGTTAGCGCGAACTACCGTTTGTATGTTGTGATACGCGTGTTCCACGGCAATCACAATGACTGTGGCGTTGCCGGAACAAAACAGCATGGGGAGTAGGTGGGAGGTGAAGGAGGAGGCTCTTCATCTGTCAAACGCGGACGAACACGCTGCAATTAATCGGCGGTACTGCACAAGGAACGTGTTTGTGGGGGTTACGCCCGAACGAATACCCCGATGCCAACCGCATTGCGACCAAAACACAGGAGCTGGAGAGCACGCTACGCGACCCCGAGGTTGCCGAGCTCGAGGTTGTCGCACGGGAACGGGCGTACGTGGAGGCCTGCGGAGCGGCGGTGCGCAGGATGTCGGCCGACTCTCTCGCCCGGGGGATGAAATCCCTGAACCAGACCGACATAGGCGGCGCCCTCCAGGTGGGGGAATGATGTTTGTAGTTGTTCCCGCTGGGCTGGGGCTCTAGTGCGGTTGTTGCCATTGCTTCCGGTGAAGGCGTCGAAGAGAGACGTACAGCAGCCTCAATTTTGGGTGGCATATGCCTTACAGCAGCAGTGGAACTGAATTGCTAAGGTGTACACCCTCTGACCCCTGCCCCGAGCTATCGCCCATCACGAAAAACGTTCCTTTTGAGACATTCTCTGCGGACGTTGTACATACGGACGGTTGTATTTTTTTTTGCGGTTTTGTCTGTTTCCACGCGGTCAAACGCCTGACAGACCAGCCCCGCTCTCTCGCCACTATCTTTGCTGTGATGGGGACGTGCCGGCCGGGCAACATTCAACCCTTCGAAAGGTGTTCTTCAACCTAGAATGCTTGCCCGCAAGGGTGAAGGCGTGCGTGACCCACCTGGCTCAAGAGGCCGACGAGGCGATGTCGGACGCCCTCCAGCCCGAAGCTCTTGCGGACGCGACCTCGTCTTCGTCCTCGGCGGCGGCGGCGGCGGAGGCTGCGGCGGCTGGTGGTGCCGGCGGCGCGGGGGCCGACCAGCAGCAACAGCGGTCTACGAGTCCCACCCCCGGCGGCATCGGTGAGGCCACCAAGTACAAAGTCGGAGTTTCTTTTTGTGTGTATGCGACTTGACTACTAGGTGCGATGCTGGCTAACACTGCACCGGCCCTTTTTGAGTGGCGGATGTTTTGTAGCTGTGTTCCGGTGTACCAAACAACACCTGTTTTTGTTTTGTTCTTTTTCAATTGCATGTGTTGTTAGCATCAACCCGGCAATGAGAGAGAGAGAGAGAGAGAGAGAGAGAGAGAGAGCTATCCAACGTGTACCCGTCCTCGCCCCCGAAATCAGGCGGCGGCGGCGCGGGCGGCGGCGTCGGGGCAGGGCGCCGTTCTCCTGCCACTCGGGACACCGGCGCTAGGCGTCGCACGGCGAGCATGCGCGCCCACGCCGGGAAGCTGGCGGCCGCCCTCCACGGCACGTCGATGGAGGCCTGGGGCCTGCAGCGGGTGCTGGACAAGAAGCGGGACCCGACGACGCGGGCCCTGCTCGACGCCACTGTCCGCGCCGACCGGAGCGACGGCGGACAGGGCGGCCTCAGCCTCCGGGCGGGAGCTTACCGGGCGTACTGGGACGGGTTGTGCCGGGCTGTCAGAGGCTCCGTGGAGCGAGCGCTGGAAGCAGACGGGGCTGTCGGCGGCGGCGGCGGTGTCGCACTGGTGGCCATGTACCCGTTCTTGAGGAAGGCGTTCTTGCGCTTGATCAGCCGGCTGGAGGAAGCGACGGCGGCTCGCCAGCAGCAGCAGCAACAGCAGGGTTCCGGTGCTGCTAGAGGAGGGGGCGACGGGCTCATCGCCTCCGGCGGTGGTAGCGGCGCCTCCGCAGCGGCGTTCTGGCAGAGACCGGGAGCAGTCGGGCAGCAGCAACGGCCGGCAGGAGGGATCCTGGGCGGTTCCCGTTGGCTGGCGCTGGCGCTAGAGGACGACTACAACAACCTGTCGCTGGACCCTTCCGCGGCGGGCGATGAGGAGCAGGAGCGGCAGTGGGACCGCCGCGGGGCGGAGGCCGGGGCTGGGCCGGCGAGCGGTCGCCGCGTGCTCGGGCTGCGGGGCGGAAAGGGGGGCGGTGGCGAGGGAGGGGCAGGCGGCGCCGGTGGGCGCGATGATGGTGACAGTAGTGATGGCACGAGGCTGCTCGAGGCGCTGGGCCCGCTCCGGGACTTGTTTCTGGCGCGAAGCTTGGAGCGGCTGACGACTCCGGTGGAGCAGATGTTTCCTCAGGTGCGTGGCGTGGCGTTTTGTTTGGCGGTCCTGGTGTTAGATTATGGGTGCCTTGCCTGGCAAAGTGGCAACGCAAGGCACCACGGCAGGGATCACGGCCCCGTCCTCCCAAGGACGCGTGGTCAATGGTCCATAACCTCTAGGCGATGCGAAAGATGAGAGAGAGTACGCCCACCCCCCCCCCCCCCCCCCCCCCCCCCCCCCCCCCCCCCCCCCCCCCCCCCCCCC